AACTTATTGGAAAAGGCCCTGATGTTGGGAAAGATTGAGGGCAGGAGGAGAAAGGGAGCGACAGAGAATGAGATAGTTGGATGGCATCACTGACTCAATGGACATGAGTCTGAGTAAACTCCTAGAGATAGTGAAGGACAGGGAAGGCTGGCGTGCTGCAGTCCATGGGGTGCCTAAGAGTCAGACATGACTTAGCAACTAAACAACAACAACGTTGAATGTGTGTACATCTAGTCTCCTTGCAGGAGGAAAGATCATAATTCTGTATACCTCTCACTGTCCCTGGCATGCGTGTACTTCTAAATTTGTGTATTCTGACACTTAGAAGTCAGGGTTGGGGAAACAGCAAAAAACTAAAAGCCAGAAGGGATGAATTAGAAACCGCACTCTGATCCTAACTCACTCTACAGCCTTGGGCTTAATTTCTCTGAGCTATAGGTTTCTTATCAATAAAAGGAAGGAAGGAATACCAGCCCAGGCTAACCCAGAGGTTGTGGCAAGGACAGCAGCCACCCTTTATATAATGTCAAACATTACACAAATTGTAGGTAAGAAGGGATTCCCTAGTGGCTCAGTGGTAAAGAACCTGCCTGCCAATGCAGGAGATGCGGGCTTGATCCCTGGGCCAGGAAGATCCCCTGGAGAAAGAAACGGAAACCACTCCAATATTCTTGCCTGGGAAATCCTTTGGACAGAGAAACCAGGGAGGTTATAGTCTTTGGGGTCACAAAAGTGTTGGACATGACTTTGCAACTAAACAGTAACAACAAAGCTTTTGTCAGGACTTTTTGACTGCAAGCAACTGAAACCAGCTCAGGCTAACTTGAGCAAAAAGGGTCTTTACTGGAAGATCAGAGAAGATCGCCCGCAGAATCATAAGGTGTCTGGAACCCAGTCTTGGCAACAGATGGACAGCAGGGCAACTCCAGGGTCCACTCAGCAGGAACTGTTTGGCCATCTCGTTGGGAGCACCTGCAGAAGTGAGCTAACTCTGAACACGCTTCCAACTCTGTACGTCCCTGCTTCTTGGTTAGAGCAGCCTGGAGTCACCCTGATTTATAGTCTCAGAGTCTACTCCATGCAGAAAGGTCAAAGCCCTGAAGGAAATCAGAGTGATGTTATCAGTAGAGTGAAAGAAGGCTGGACGGCCAGAAAGCGCAAATGTCCACAATAGGCTTAATAAACAGTGTTGATTGACAGTGTCCACTCCTTTGACTCTGAAGACATTCTGCATTAAAGATAATATAAGCAGCTTCTTTAGACCTTATCAGCAAACACCTTGGAGGGCATGAGTTCCTCAGATTCTTTCCATCCATGGCAGTTAAAATATTAATGCCCTTATAGGAAGGAGATGCAGAACTACTTACTTGATGGGGTAAAGCACAAGGACAGATGAATAAAGTCACAGCTCCATCATCACTGGGTCACAGAACCTTCCTGACCTTCCTGACTAGGTCATGCCTCCATGCTTTCTACTTCCTTATGGTTCCTGGTCCTCTTGGTGGCTCTTGATACTGTGTAAGTTAAATTAGTACTATTTATGACTAGTGGTTATTTCCTCCAGTAAGTTGTAACCTCCATGAGGGCAGGGCCAATGTCTCTGCTCCTCTCTATTTCTATGACCCATCCACATTCTAGATGCTCAGTAAATGTTTACTGAGTGAATTAAATACATGAATAAATAAGGTGCTCAAAGGGCCAGAGCAGTCAGTTGCACAACTATCTAGGGAAGGTCATTTCCATCACAAATCAGGGGCAGGTTTCACCTTTTCCTTTCTAGGCACACAGGGTGATGGAGCAGATTTGGCAGATTAGCTAACTCACCATCCACTAGGGGTTGGGCCACCTTTTTTTTTTTTTGCCAAAATCTGCTGCTAGAGGGGAGAAGGCCCATCAGGCAGTGGGAGAAGTAATCCACAGCTTCTGGGAGAGGAAATAAGATAATCTTACTCTGATCCTCCATTCACTGCTTTCCTTCAGGCCCATCCCTGCCGGGAGCATCCACCCAAGGGGGAGCACTGCTCCCGTGGATACCATGACCCCCGAGTGGTCGCTCTGTGGTTGCTTCCTGAGACAAGATACTAACAAGCCCTCCTGTTTGTAGAGCATTTGCAGTCTACAAAGTGAAAATTGCTCAGTTGTAGCCAACTCTTTGAGACCCCTTGGACTATACAGTCCATAGCATTCTCCAGGCCAGAATACTGGAGTCGGTAGCCTTTCTCTTCTCCAGGGGATCTTCCCAACCCAGGGATCAAACCCAGGTCTCCCTTATTGCAGGCGGATTCTTTTCCAGTTTAGCCACAAGGGAAGCCCAAGAACCACTGGAGTGGGTAGCCTATCCCTTCTCCAGCGGGTCTTCCTGACCCAGGAATCAAACTGAGGTCTCCTGCATTGCAGGCAGATTCTTTACTAACTGAGCTATCAGGAAAGCCTGTGGTCTACAAAAAGCTTTCCTAATTATCTCCTTTGATGCTCTCCATGACCAACCTGTAAGACAGGCTCCATGTCACAGATGAAGAAATAAAGGCTCAGAGCCTTGCTTAAGGTTATTTCAGTTCAGTTCAGTTCAGTTCAGTTCAGTTCAGTCTCTCAGTCGTGTCTGACTCTTTATGACCCCATGGACTGCAGCACACCAGGCCTCCCTGTCCATCACCAACTCCCAGAGTCTACCCAAACCCATGTTCATTGAGTCGGTGATGCCATCCAACCATCTCATCCTCTGTCGTCCCCTTCTCCTCCTGCCCTCAATCTTTCCCTGCATCAGGGTCTTTTAGGTAACTTTAAATATTGCACAAACTTCAAGGTTAGGGAATCTCCATATCATCCCTGTGTAGAGGGACTATAGTTTTAGCATAAACATCACAAGGTCTTTTTTTTGAGCCCTAAAGATAGCTCACTCTTTTTTGTTATTGAAATATTGCAACATAATAAACAAAAGAATTAAGGAAAGCAAGGTATGCATTTGGTTTTTATTCGAGTGAAATCATATCAGTTTGCAGGTCAATTTGTATTGTATTGTATTGTATTTGTATTTGTATGTAAGGAGATGGAAGAGGGGAAAGAAGGAGAGAAACACCTTGATTTTACTTGAGGTTCAGTTAAAAATTTATTTTGTCTTTGAATTTGGAATTGACAAATTCATTCCACCTTGTCCCCAAGTTTCACTCATGTCGCGTCAGCTCAGAACTCTCCCACTCAGCCTGTGGGTCTGCTTCTCACTCTCATCTCAGCCCTAACGTCTCAGCCCCAAGTGGAAGATGACTGGAGAAGTCACCTATGACCTGGCTGCTTCTCCTTGGGGGCCAGAGTTCTTGATGTTTCTCTGGAATTGGAATTTTATCTGCATGCGTCTGAAACACAAACCAAACCCCCCAACAACTGCTGAGGCAGGCTAGAGAAGACCCTCTCTGAGATTAAAAGGAGTTCCACCGAGGTGGGATCAGGAGCCTCCCCCTGCGGTGAACCAGTGTGCGCTTTCCTTCTTCGGATGTGGTCTGAGACTCCTGGGAGCCTCTCATCAGCGACCAGACCATGGGAGCAGGGTCTGGCCCCTGGCACAGCAGCTAACACGCACGCCCAGGACAGCTCTTGGCGAGAGCTTTCTCACTGGTCCTCATCGTCCCCTCTGCAGCAGAGGAAAGGCACCGGGCCTGTCCTGAGGATGAGGGGTCAGAGGCTGAGCAGGGGGAAGTAACTTGCCCAAAGCCATGCAGTTAGGAAGGGGAGAAGCTGGGTTTGCATCTAGACATATCCGCTTTCAGCTGCAAGTGGGGAGAAAAGAAGACAGGAAACAACCAATCTTCCATGGAATCTTGGATGGAAAAGAGGTGCCCTTCTCACACAAACCCCCTCCCAGGCTTTTATGTGAGCAAAACTAGAACTTTCTCTTGTGTTAGAGCTATTCTAAAATTGGGAGGGGTGGTCATAGCTGGTAGCATTAGTCCAATTCCTCCACACAGGCAGGCACGCAACCCAGCCCTGCAGACTTCTCTGAGGAAGCCAAGTCTAGGCTGATGCTGAAGGATGAGTGGATGCCAAGTAGGCAAACATGAGGGGTGAAGGTCTCATGCCTAAGCTCTGTCTGGAAACTGGAGATGAAACCCAGGGCAGCCCAGTCAGGGCCAGTCTGAGGTAGACGTTTCCTGGGTGGGTACCACGTGCCCACCAATCTCTCCTTCTAGACCCTCAGTGAGAACCAGAGCCAGCATCTAACGGTGGGCGCATGAGCCAGGGTGGGGGGCAGAAGGGGCTGAACAACTGCAGGGGTGAAATTGAAAGTCTCCCAGTCGTGTCCGACTCTTTGTGACCCCATGGACACACAGTCCATGGAATTCTCTGGGCCAGAACACTGGAATGGGTAGATTTTACCTTCTCCAGGGGATCTTCCCAACTCAGGGATCAAACCCAGGTCTTCTGCATTGCAAGTGGATTCTTTACCAGCTGAGCCACAAGGGAAGCCCAAGAATACTGCAGTGGGTAGAAAGAATATTCAAAACAATGCCACCTCTCCTCTGAGTGTGTCTTATGTCTTCCAGCCATACTGTTTCCTGACTTCTTTACTCCATAAGCATAATCTTTGCCCATTCATACATCATATTTAAAACTGTTGAGGGTTTGGGGAGAATCTATCAGGGGAGACATACTGTCTGTTTTTCTGACCCTGATCCTGGCAAGGCACCTGCCTGCAGTCCTGCATGAGAAATCTTTCTCCTGCCCATGACTCTGCTCTGATTTCCAAGCAAATGCATATCACAGACTGCCCTGCCTTGAGGGAACTTGCTGGGAGGATGGAATGTTCCCAGTTCCTCCTCCTGGAGAGGCGTCTGCAAGGACTGAGGTCTCTGAGTCCTTGGCAGGAAGGTGAAAGCGGCCTTCCCCTTCTGTTTGCTGTCATCACTCGGTCAGGTTTTCCCTTCATGGGTAGCTTCAGCCACTGCTGACAAAACATCCAGGCCCCCCAGCCCCCTGCCAACCACCCCTGCCCCTAAATAAACACCAGCTCATTTGTAAGAGGTCTTTAATTCGATCTTGGTATGCCATTAAGGAGTGGAATAAGGATCTCTATTCATCTTCACTCACACAGTATCCACTACTTTTCTCTAACTGATCTTCACCATAGTCGCCTGTGTAGTCATAGCGTGTCTGCATGATTTTCACTCAGCAGACTGGTTTAGGTTTCTCGGTGGTTTGCATAAATTATAAAAAAAGAGCACAAAAATCATACAACAGTGACTCTATCATAGGGAGCTGTGTTCCCTCTGGCCTTGCAGACAGTGATGGGGACAAGCAGCGGTGACCAAAGCTCTGATGACGGGTGACATCCCTAGGAGTGAGGCCAAGCCTGTCCCGGCCCCTCTCGGAGGAGTCCTCCGTCTTCCCCATCAACTTGTTCTGGTTTCTCAGGAGGCCTCCTAACACAGAAGGATCCCATCTTAGCACCACAGTGATGGACAGGGTGTGGAACTGTCCCTGTGTACAATGGCAGCTGGGTCCTCCGTGCTCAGCAACAGGAAAGAGAGCCAGGAGGAGGAGCCCTGGGTTTCCACCAGGACCTCCTTTGCCTCTATGAGCTCCAAGAGGCTGCGAGCTATGAGCTCCAAGAGCATCTGGACCACGGGTCAGCCAACTTTTCATGAAAAGAGCCAGATATTACAGATAGTAACTATTTCAGGCTTTCCAGCTCACATATATTCTGTTGCATATTCCCCCCCTCCCCTTTTTTACAACCCTTTAAAAATATAAAAACTCTTCTTAGGAGGCAGGCCATAAAATACAGGCCTATAGGCTGCAACCTCTGGTCTAAAACATGATAATAACCTGTCCAACCCGTTCGTCACAGCTTCCTCCCTATCGAAAGCCTCTAGTCCCTGGGCTGCCCTGATGTAGTATGTGCAGCCCAGGCTTGCAGGGGGTACTATGGCAGGCAGGGCTGCCCTCAGGCTCCTGCCATATAGGCCCAGGTACCCTCCTTTGCCAAGTGGCTGGTTGGTTGGATTTTAAGCAAGTATAGATATTAGTCTCAGCCCTGCTCATGTGTCCTGGGGTTGAATTAAGCCTCAGTGTCCCCAGTGAGGTAGGTAAATACTATCAGCCTCATCCCACACTTGCAGATGGTGAAGTTCAAGAGCAGAATTGACTTTCCTAGTCAACTTCCTAGTCGTGTGACTTCCCAACAGTCACATGTCTGAATTTCAAAGAAAGCCAAAGAGTCTAGGCTTTAAATTTCATAAGAGTCTAGCCTTTAAATTTCCTAATGATCAGGAATTGTTTTGCCCATTCCCCCCCCCCTCCCCCACAAGCCCAGTGATTGATTCCACCTCAAACAGAGCAAGAATCCACCAGTAAATACTGTCAGCCACACAGGGTAATTGCTTTCCAGACCTCAACAACATTCTCTGAAAACAGAATTAACTCAAGCACTCAAAGCTACGGGCCTCAGTGGAGCGGCGCTCTCTGCCCTGCCCACAAGTCTCTTCAAACTCAAAATAAAGTTTATAAAAGTAAATTATCTCATTTTATAACTTAAGTGCATCAAGCATTTCCTTAAATATAGTTCACACTGAAAATAAAGTTACTTTTTGCTGTACAGTTGGTGTCTGTCATAATTAGGAATAAACTTTGATGATAAAGTATGAAAGGTTACACACTCACGCACACATCTATCTATCCGTCTGTCTGTCTATGGGTGTGTGGATGGGTAGACATATGCACCTCTTGACAAGAGATTCCCCCCAAAATGGTGGGAAGTTGCTAGGGGTCTCTAGTATCTAGTTTGCATGAAAATGCCTATATTAAAAGTCCCTGTCCTTAATGATAAACACATTTTCGTACCTAACACTAAGACTCTTATTAGAAACATTAAACTATGCAATCCGTAATGTATTCAGTCTTTGGAAATGCCAAGCTACACCATATCATTATACAACAGCATCCCCAACAGAACTCCCACCCACCCCACCTCTTCCCTGCCTCCCCATACTAAAGCCAGTCGACCCCTCACGTAATACAGTTGTTCCAGAATGGGAGCTGAGCCACAGAATTCAAGGGGAGGACTCAAGAGGTGAAGTAAGAATTCTGCATGGAGTACAGATGATCAATGGGGTTTCCCACTCTGGACTGCAGGGGCCCGGCTTCTGAGGTTGCTAGGAAACAGTCACCCAGGTTACTGAGGGAGGTGTCCTCACTATCCAGCTCGTGGAAGAGGGGCTCAGCACCTGAAACGGAGACGAAACACTCCATGAAGGTCCAGAAGGAGGGACTCATTCGAAGCTGGGGCATTCAGCTGAGTTCGGCCTGCGCGGTCTAGGCACACCACCCCGGCCCCACTTCTACTGGGCGCTGGGAAGGGGGAGCGCTGGCGGTGACAGGAGAGCTACATAGAAGAGCAGGAGGGGGCATAACCCCTGCCCACCAAAGACCTCCTCAGAGGGTTATGTCTAACGTGTAACAACTGAAACTAAGGTAAACTAGGATCTGACAAAGGAGGGCTAACGGAGCGCAGCAAAGGCAAACGTCAGAGTGTTTAGACACTAGAGGTGCGGAGTGGGCGGGACCCAGCGCCGCAGGCTGCAGACACAGGCGCAGGGCTTCTAGAAGACTCCGGCCACAGAAAAGGTTCTTGCAGGAGGGAGGGTAAGAAAACGAACAGCGACTCTGCGAAGGATGCTCACGAAACCACTGGCGATAACACTTGTCCTTTCAAACAGCACAAGCATACTGAATGCCAGCTCTTTCCCCAGATTTGTGCTGCAAGGGAGAGGAAGGTTAGGTGTCCACACTCAGCTAGTGAAACCTCTGACAATGAAACTGGGAGGGCAAACTGAGGAAGAGCTGGGGGACCGCTGTGACCAGACGCTTGAGGCGTGGACATTCCACCTCCGCTTCAAGTAAGTGGGAGAGAGAAAACTGCTGTTTATAAAACTCGTCATGGGGCTTTAATTATTCATTTTACTAAAGGATTCATCACAGGAGCAATTTATGTAACAAGACCCCTAGGACTCTGAAAATGTATGAATTGGCAAAAAAAAAAAAACAAAAAAAAACCAGAGCTATTTGTCCTGTTTTTGCATAGCAGTGAAGACAGGCATAGATGTGTCTTCTCAGGAAACAAAGGGGATGGCTGTCACTGAGCACATGCATATATATCTACGTGTGTATGAATGAATGAGGTTAGTCAATGGTGGCCCTGCAAGTGACTGGATCTTAATAAATATTTGCTGAACGCATCACAGGGAAAGATAGGGCTGATGTCAACAATATAGCTAATTTTATAATGAAGGCAAAAAAGAAGTTGACAAAATCTGTGCACTGAGGCATGTATCTCTGATACTAACATTTTGAAGGCTTAGTGTATAAAACTTTATTTTTAGCTATCAGGGTTACTGGACTACAGATTTCACAGTACAGGCAAATGCATTACATAGGCCATATACCTTCTCTCTATAAAAACCCAGTGGCCTAAATTTGACTCTAAGATTGAACTTCAGCCTTCAACTCTAAAGCCTGCCCACTCCATCAGGGCATCCAGGCCCCAGCTGCTGTCCACTGGCTTCAGAAGCAAGCCAGGAAAGTGGGGGAATCTCAGCTGCCCCCACACCCTGCCTTTAAAGCAACCCAATTTTGGCTGCAGTGGGACTGGGACTTTACTTCACAAGTCAGCTTATGTTCTAGGAATTACATGAGAATACCTACTAGTATCCATAATAGGAGAGTACAATTAGAACCTTTTTTTTCCTGTGCTTTTCTATGTATTCTTTCCTATGTAAGAGTTTGCATAATTAAGGCCCCTGACTATATCACTGCTGATAATGCTTATGAACTTGTAAGTGTGGTGAAAGTGATAGTGTTAGTCGCTCAGTCGTGTCCAACTCTTTGCGACGCCCGGGACTGAAGCTCACCAGGCTCCTCTGTTCATGAAATACTCCAGGCAAGAACACTGGAGTGGGTAGCCATTCCCTTCTCTGGGGCTCTCCTTGACCCAGGGATCACACGTGGGTCCCATGCACTGCACGAGTGTGGTACCTGGCGTGAAAATATGCCACAGGAAGGGAAGTGTGTATGTATGTGCTTAACTGATCAGCCATGACTGACTCTGCGACCTCAGAGACTGTCACCTGCCAGGCTCCTCTGTTCAAGGAATTCTCCAGACAAGAATACTGGAGTAGGTTGCCATTTCCTGCTCCCGGAAGTGTGGTATCTGGCATGAAATGAAGACTTGGGAAGTTAAATCCCAACAAAAATGTCTACACAAAAAAGGAAAACACAACCTCCTTTTCAAACAAATAAAAAGCTTTGAAAAAGGAGAATAAATGGAAACACGACTCATGGACATGCATACTGGTCTTACTTCTGGAGCCATAGGCTATGTGATTGTAGCAGTATTTTGTGGGACACTTATTCTGCTTTGAAACTTTAATGAGCAACTAGGAACTACATAGAGAGGGGGACTGGGAGGGGGTGAAAAACTCACGCAAGCAAGCTGTGCGAAGTCCCTGCGGGGCTTGAGTCCCTCTTACCATAGGGGTGCATGTGGTCTCCAGGCATCTGGGGTGGGGTGAGCCCCTGTCGGAAGGGATCTGAGCTGTAGACACTCTGCTCGATGGCCAGGAGCTGCTGTGGGGTGGGCAGAGCCGTGTAGGGGTTCATGATCCCTTCCATGCCAGCATTCCCACCACTATTTGTCTGAGCTGTGGGACAAAGAAGAAGATAAATAGTTCTCCACGTGCAGCCCAGTATCTCATGCTGAAGGTGGGGCAGGGCCTCTGAACAAGCTCCGAACTTCACGTGCCCCACTGGCTGGGGACCACACACATTGTGTGGACATGGCGACATTATTTTACTTTCGTCATTTACAGAAGGGAAAGGATGAGGTGACATCAGTGGTTCCTAGCTTGTGCCCTACCATGGGCCACCAATGATTATGCCAAAGGATAGAGCTGCAGGATGAGTGTTGTACTTGGAGAGCTTCCTTGAACCATATCATTAAGACAAAGGCATTTGATGCTACACCCAGGCTTGGCAGCCAATGGAGTAGACACGTCTAAGGATGCTTCCAGTGTCACCACACTAGGATCCTATCAGTCAAGTGGGGCTCATCGTATGGATCCAGGGGACCTTGTGGAGCTGATGTGAAGGCTCCATGAGACGGTGGGTATGAGCTTTGGGTCTGCACCTTGCTCTGCTGTGTACACAGTTTCATCAGAAAAGGAGGGCTCAGTTCCTCCTTCCACTTCCTGCTGTGGTTCTCTGAACGTGGTTGCATTAACTCTCAGAGACTCTAGTTCCATCTTCTTAAGTCTACCCTAGGAACTGCCCATAGAATTCTTCAAAGTCCCAGCACTAGGAGTCTGTGTTCTCATCACGCCATGATGCCTCCTCCTCCCTTTGAGCGCGCTGGCCTGTATGACTCAGCTTGCGCGGCTCCTCCTGAGGCCCTGTCTGGTCTGTGACCCTCTCTGAGGCCCACAGGGCTGTGTGACTGGACTATCAGACAGCACTAGCCTACCCTAGGGACGCAAGCCCGAGGTGCAAAGAGACGGAACGGCAGGTGTCAGATCTCCAAACAGCACTGCACGTAGACCCGGGGCAAATTCAGGTCTCCTGACCAGCTTGGCTCCACCCTGCCCAAGCTGCCCATGTTCTTGCTTGATTTTTCTACCAGAGCATCTCTCTTGTCATTAAGATATAATTTGGCTTCAAAGGTATAGAAAGAACTCTTAACTGGGAAAATCAAATTCTTGATGGAGCCTAGCCCTGGCATCAAGCATAAGGCAAGGTCCATGAAGGTAAGGAGCTCTGTTTAGGGGCCAGACAACCAATGTCACTTTCCACAGCCTTCCAAGTGTGGCCCACAGGCTGGCACGAATGAGCATTTATTACAAGTGCAGACTCTTCAGGCCCACCATAGTCTCAAGAATCAGAATCTATACCAAACACCAAGTGGTTTCGGTACATCAGAAAGGGTGAGAATCCCTGCTCCAGGGCACAAACAGACCACTCAGGAAATTCTGCTGGACAGCTGAGGCTGGGGGCATATCCTGTTAAGAATGACATTGTTTTAACATAGTCATTCTTGCTTTTTCTCTCTTAACTTCCTTAAAGGGTCCCACAGCTTGTCCTGTTTCACACGCTCCCCAATCCTCACATTGCCCCTATTAAAAACCAACAAATGAAGGTACATGGAGGTAAGGGCGAGTTAAGGCAGCGTGACCAAGTGGGCCTTAGAGAGACTGGTTCCAGCCCAACTCCATCCTTCACTGATCGAGGATTGTGGTCCATCTTGCAGAGCCTCTGTTCATCTGTAAGATGGAAACATTAATAACTCCTCTGCTCACCGTGGGGGCTGGCGGCTGTGAGTCAGGTCAGCATGAGAGCAACAGTGCTCAACCTGGGAGTGTTCTTTTTCCCCACTATCATTATTTTTACTCTTTCATAGTATTTTGGAAAGGATTGCACGTCACTGTGGTGTCTTCTATGAAACTGATTTGCCGAGAAGCAGGGCCCGGCTGGATGAGAAGCTGGGCGTGCCCTTGACTCTGCAGGTAGGCCCCGACACAGGCCCGGGTACCACAGCAGGATCTGCCAAGCGGGCTTTGGACTCGGTTAGTGCCACCTCTGAGCCACAGCTCTGGGCCTTCAGCCGGCGCCCTCTGAACTCACAGTTCCCATGGTTTGGTCCTCCCTGGAAGGCCCCTTCTCCCAAGTGAGTGTGGGCTGGGCTTCAGGGAGCCCAGAGATGCCATCCAAGGGCAGGGCGGTTGGCAGCCCCGGGCAGGAGAGGCCAAGGGACGCAAGCCCGAGGTGCAAAGAGACGGAACGGCAGGTGTCAGATCTCCAAACAGCACTGCACGTAGACCCGGGGCAAATTCAGGTCTCCTGACCAGCTTGGCTCCACCCTGCCCAAGCTGCCCATGTTCTTGCTTGATTTTTCTACCAGAGCATCTCTCTTGTCATTAAGATATAATTTGGCTTCAAAGGTATAGAAAGAACTCTTAACTGGGAAAATCAAATTCTTGATGGAGCCTAGCCCTGGCATCAAGCATAAGGCAAGGTCCATGAAGGTAAGGAGCTCTGTTTAGGGGCCAGACAACCAATGTCACTTTCCACAGCCTTCCAAGTGTGGCCCACAGGCTGGCACGAATGAGCATTTATTACAAGTGCAGACTCTTCAGGCCCACCATAGTCTCAAGAATCAGAATCTATACCAAACACCAAGTGGTTTCGGTACATCAGAAAGGGTGAGAATCCCTGCTCCAGGGCACAAACAGACCACTCAGGAAATTCTGCTGGACAGCTGAGGCTGGGGGCATATCCTGTTAAGAATGACATTGTTTTAACATAGTCATTCTTGCTTTTTCTCTCTTAACTTCCTTAAAGGGTCCCACAGCTTGTCCTGTTTCACACGCTCCCCAATCCTCACATTGCCCCTATTAAAAACCAACAAATGAAGGTACATGGAGGTAAGGGCGAGTTAAGGCAGCGTGACCAAGTGGGCCTTAGAGAGACTGGTTCCAGCCCAACTCCATCCTTCACTGATCGAGGATTGTGGTCCATCTTGCAGAGCCTCTGTTCATCTGTAAGATGGAAACATTAATAACTCCTCTGCTCACCGTGGGGGCTGGCGGCTGTGAGTCAGGTCAGCATGAGAGCAACAGTGCTCAACCTGGGAGTGTTCTTTTTCCCCACTATCATTATTTTTACTCTTTCATAGTATTTTGGAAAGGATTGCACGTCACTGTGGTGTCTTCTATGAAACTGATTTGCCGAGAAGCAGGGCCCGGCTGGATGAGAAGCTGGGCGTGCCCTTGACTCTGCAGGTAGGCCCCGACACAGGCCCGGGTACCACAGCAGGATCTGCCAAGCGGGCTTTGGACTCGGTTAGTGCCACCTCTGAGCCACAGCTCTGGGCCTTCAGCCGGCGCCCTCTGCACTCACAGTTCCCATGGTTTGGTCCTCCCTGGAAGGCCCCTTCTCCCAAGTGAGTGTGGGCTGGGCTTCAGGGAGCCCAGAGATGCCATCCAAGGGCAGGGCGGTTGGCAGCCCCGGGCAGGAGAGGCCGGGCCAGGGGGAGGTGCCAGCTTACCGGAACTCAGCCTCTGGGTGTTCTGCTGATCTTGCTGCTGCTGCTGCTGCCGCCGGGCCAGCTTCTTCATCTGGGGAGGCAAGAACTCAGGATTAGAAGTCAGGGGGCCTGCAGCAGGTTCTCACAGCTAGGCCAGGGGGAGTTGGCTCAGGGGGAAAGCAGAGGGACCCCTTCCCTAGCTTTTACTCAGGAGAGAATCCACGTTTCAGGAACGGCCCCTTGAGCCTGATGCATGCTGGCTGAGGGATTTCTACACCGTGGAAAGACAGCTGGCTAGGAAGCCACAGGGCAGCTGCTCTTAGCAGAACAGGGATGCCCTCTCAGCACATAAAACCTGCTGCTGATGGTGTCACAGTTTGCTGTGAGGTATAAGAGAAGCACGCGCAGTCTGCAGCCCAGCGTAGCTGTGCAGTGAGGGCCTGCTGGCAGCTGTGATCTGGCATGAGCCAAGAGGCCGCCCCACCCCCTGGTCCCTGGGGCAGAGACTCCGACCAGCAGATGCATGCCTTTAGGTAAGGAGCTTGTCTCCCAGAGCACCCTGTTAGCCCACTAACTTCCCAGAAGGAACACATCAACTCAGTCTTTCTCAAAGTGTCTTCTGTGGAACATTAGGGTACCATGAGATCCTTGGTGTGTGTGCGTGTGTGTGTGTGTGTAGGGAGCATTAGGTAAACCTTCATTCCCCAGGTAAATGAAGAGAAGAATAAGCATACATTTAGGTAAGTATTTCAAGAAGTGTTCCTGGGTTTCTCATCCTCTGGAAACTGGGCCTTCAGGTGGTTGAGTGTGTGTGTGTGTGTGTGTGTGTGTGTGTGTGTGTGTGTGTAGGGAACATTAGATTTTTAAAAACTTCTTTACTGCAAGATTTCTCAGAACTTCGAATATGTTCCCTGCTTATGAATACATAGGCTATAGGTTCTCTCAAACCTACTGAACTATGAAATTCTTTCATAGAAAAGACCATGGACTACACACCAGAAGCCCAGTCTGAGGAATTCAGTTAGGGAAATGGTATCTTAACCAATCACAATCAGCTAATGAGATACGAATCCATCGCCCACTAAAGATTAGAGGTCTAGAGAAATGGGCCACTAACACACGTGTGTGTGTGTGTGTGTGTGTGTGTGTGTGTGTGCGCGCTCAGTCATATCCAACCCTTGCAACACCTTGGGCGATAGCCCACCAGGCTCCTCTGACCATGGGGTTTTCCAGGCAAGAATACTGGAGTGGGTCACCATTTCTTCCTTCAGGGAATCTTCCCAATCCAGGGATCAAATCCACATCTCCTGCGTCTCCTACATTGGCAGGCAGATTCTTTACCACTGAGCCCCTGGGAAGCCCAACACATGCACGTGTACAGGTAGGAAGATAAGCAGGTAAAGGTCTAAGGTCAGCGAGAGACCACGGCAGGGGCATGCACACTTTGGTAGGATGCATTAGACAACATGACTATATAACAGGGACAGGTGGGGCCCTAGGAAAGGTGAGTTAGGCCATCCATTCCATGTACCATGATGTTGTCTTAGACCAATCATATGGGTGCTATGTTGGCTTCCCTCTGAAATCTCAAAGGTACTCTGGCATCTGGGTTAAATGAATAGGAATCAAAGAACCTGCTTTTACCAAAAGACACAGAAAGGTATTTCTTCACGAAAATGACTGACAATCACAATCACGAGGAAAATAACAGCATCCCACTAGAACAAATGCCCTTCTGCAAGTATGCTGTGGCTGAAATGACTGCTCATCATAGACTTTCTGAATTGAGAGAACTAGTCTATCCAATGAATTGAAGTCGGAAAATTTGTGGGCAAGGACAACATTCTACTAATATTTCAGGAAACCAGCCACACAGAGACAGAAGCAAGAGGCAGATTACCTTAGCTCTCTGGTTCTGGAACCACACCTGAACCACACGGACGCTCAGCCCTGTCTCTGCAGCCAGGGTCTCCCTCACCTTAAAAATACGTAACATTAGAAATACAGAAATAGTGGCATGTCAGAGTAGAAGGCAGAACATTCGCTGTGCACTGCACAGCGAGCCCAGCAGGCCACACCTTCCAGGAGCTGGTGCATATTCAACGTTCAGCAAAACCCCAAACAGAGCATTGCTTCCCTTCAGCTGGAGAGACAGTGCTTCCCCAGGGAAGTGAGGAGAAGCAGCAGCATTCATCTAGGCTTGTATTGTAAGAAGTGTTCCTGGGTTTCTCATCCTCTGGAACCTGGGCCTTCAAGCGGTTCTTAGATACTAGCAAAATCTATTTTTGTGTTTTAGCTGTATGCCAGGTATACGCCATAACCTACTTAAGGAGAACTGAGGGTGAAAAATCACTTTGCAAAAACAAATGGTTCTCTCTTGCTCTCGTCTCCTACCTTAATTCACTGACTTAAATGTTTGGTTTTGTCCCTTATAGCTCTAGATCACTTTGGGTGTCTCAGGAATATCCATATTTACAGCGAGCCCTCAGAAAAGATAAGACAAGAGCCATCTTGGATCTGACAGAGCATGGCAGACCACGCTAAGGTGGGTATGTGGCCTGGGGCTATGAAGAGACAGGACAATCGAGGTCCCTCCCGTGAAGAAAGGGGTCTAAACGTCTGCCCTCCGCACAGGCACATGGCGAGGGACGGGCCAGAAGGGAAGGGGGAAGAGGCACATATCTCCCAAGAGTGGCCCTGAGACACACTGGCTCCTCATGGTTAGATTCTGAGGAGGTCAGACTTAGGAGCGCCTTCAGTAAACGTATAAACAGGGCAAGCTGGAAGTGCTGGGAAGCCTTGGGAAGCATCTACCTTTGTCACGCCACTCAGACTCAAGCTTAGGAGAAATGGGATGATTAGAGCAGATTTTTAAAGCACATCGTTCTACTAAGCCAACTTAAACACCAGTGTACCCAGGGGCCCACAGCCACCTGCAGAAACCCTATCCATCCTTCAGAGGCCCGGCTCAGAGGCCACCTGCTCCACAAAGCCTCGCCTAATTTCCCAGACACGAGTGACCTGTCCCTTCTCTTGGCTCCAGGCTGCCCTTCTGTCTCGGCCCTCAGAGATTCCTCCCCAGTGCCCCAGCGCACATCTCCTCCCTGCTGGTGGCCCAGGGACAGGCAGTGGGCACAGGCCACACAGAGGCCGGGGGTCTAGTACATGCAGAACAAGTAAACTGCTGAGAGAAGTGGGAATTGGCCCCTGTGCAAGCCTACTTTGGGGCTCACTTTCTACCAGCTCTTTCTGCTGGAACTTATGGGGCAGTGAGGTCAGGGAAGGAAAGCATTCTGCAGTTGAAACTTCAAAAGTCAGAAGTGGTGGGAGGATGTATTATGGTTCAGCAAATAACCATCCTCCCCATTCCTGGATGGGTATGTACTTCCCCTGCACTCACAGTGGGCTTACCCACGTGACTTGCTGTGGCCCATGGACTGTTACCGGATGTGAAGCGAGTGATCTCCATGGAGATCCATTGGGCATGCCCAGTGGAACTCAGACTCTTGCCTTCTGCCATCGTCAGGAGACCCATGTGCCCTAGGTGGCTGCTGCTCCTTTGGCCTGGACCCTTTTAATGACAGACATGTGGGGCAGACTTGAACCTGAACCCAGCTGGGCCCCAGCCAACCCACAGCCTAGCAGGAGGAAATAAATGTTTGTTGGAGCTGCTAAGATTTTATTTGTTACCGCAGCAAAAACTGATTCCTACACAGAGGGAGAGAGGAAAAACAATGCTAAAAATGTTTAAATGTCTTTATTCTACGAATTTCAATTCAATTTCAAGAACCCTTGTTTTCTTATTTTTGTTGCATAAAAGACAGTACCTAGTATGGCAGAGTCAATAAATGGTGGGTACTTAACAAGTAAATGCAGCTACTTGTGACAGAGACTACTAATTGTCTCCAAAATGAATTCTCTCTTTCTTCCTCTTAGCAACTGAATTCCTAAATTTTAGGAATTTATATGGATACCCAGATGGACTCAGTTCCCAGGACCCTTTGTAATCACAGGATTAAATTCTAGCCAACACGTGAGAGTGATGCAAAAAATCCCAGGGTGTGTATGCCCTGTAAAAAGCAACTGCTTGCCCCCACCCTCCGCCCTACTCCCTCTTTTTCCACCATGGTAGCTGCAAAAAATGGTGACATCTGGAGCAGTCCCTTAGACCCATGTGATGAGACAGAGTTTCTCGGCCAATCTTGTGTTGCTCACCTCTGGACTAGGATGTGAGAGCAACATGAACTCTTGTCTCATTAAGTCACTGTATTTTTTTACATATCTGTTCCCAGCAGCCTTATCTGTAACAGCCCCAAACTGGAAACAATCCACATGCCCATCAGCAGATAAGTGGACAAGCAACCCATGGTATACCCACGGAATACCATGCAACAACAAAAATGGGTGAACTGCAACATGGATGAATGCCAAAATCACCACCTGAAGCAGAACGAACTGGGCCAAAAAAAAGAACATGTGCTACAACCCACTGTATTTTTCCTCTCTTGTAACATTTTGACCTATACCCCAACTGGAACCCCTTGTTACTCTCCTCATTGCTCTCCACGAAATGAAAGGTAAGAGGAAGCAGCCAGTTGGAATGGTGCCTGCAAAAAGCAAAAGGAGCTGCTACCACTGCCCCAGCCACAGCCACAGTGATCCCTGGAGCCTCCAACGGGGTCAGGGCCACCCGCCCAGACTGTCTGAACAGCACTGTCCACCCTGGTGCCCATCGACACCCCGAAGGAGTCCAGGGCACACGCGGAGAAGAGGGGCCTTATCCCCCTTCTTCCCTTCTTCCCCTCTGTACCTTCCTGCACGGCTTGGAGGATACTTCAAACGAGGCCTTGAATGCTCTCCTCTGTTGGGTTGTCAGGATGGTTCTGGGACGTTTGGGGCGCTTATGGTCCTTGCTGTCCTCAGAGGCTCCTTTCCCTGCCCCGTGGGCTGACTTGCAAAGACTTTCCTCATCATCACTTTTCCCTGAAAGAAGCAGAAGTAATGTGTTGAGTCCCTCAAGGCTGCGACCTGGAGTTGTATGTTATTCCATAATAAGACACTCAGGTCCACGTTCTGAGGATGACTTAAAATATGAATGCAACAACCTGTGTGGTATTGATCCCAAAGCCCCCAGGAAGGGGCTAAGGAAAAACTTCTGAAACTTGGAGACAGGAACCAGGAAGTCCACCATCACAGCTCAGGACTTCCTCCTGGGATATTCTCCGAGCTCCACATTTACCAGCTGTGTGGCCTTGAGCAAGTGACTTAACTCTCTGTGGATCAATTTCCTTCTCTGTAAAATCAGGATAGAGGAGAACACTTCACTGAGGTTATTTGAGGATTCAATGAGGTTACCAAGAAGGCATTCAGAAGGCTGATAAGCATATAATAAATGCCCAGTAAGCATTGGTTATTAGTATACTAATAGTTTGTGTAGTTTTCTTGACCTGGATAATTTATTATATAACTTCTAGATACTATGTCTGCAATACTAGCCACTGCCAGGAGGTAAAAAACAATACTGTTTAAAAGGCCGCAGAAGACCAACATAAAACTATGTACAGAGACAGATAATAGGCAATTAGTCAAAACTGCATGTCTATAAAAGAAATAATTCTCTAGTAAAGTAACTATTTATGTGTTTATTTCAACTTTATCAGCAGTGATCAATACAAGGAGTAACTTGAAGGAAATAAAGCCTCTAGTACATATGACATTCATTCCCTTTTGCATCCCACAGATTTCACACTTCTGAGAAGATGCTTCTAGGATCTAGGAAATACCCCTGTGAGAGAGATTCCTTCCTACTTTTGGCATTAAAAGCCACAGGCAGTGTGTAGTCACATTACCCTAACAAGACCTTCATTTCTCTCTGGGTCCTTACACAGCTCAGCTGCCCTCTTTCATCCAGGAGAAACCTTTGTCCCCAGAGCTTCCTCGGCTCCAGTCCCCTCATTCTAGTCCCCTTCTGGCCCCTTCAAGAAATCCAGGATGAGGGGACCCACTGGGCGTAAGCTCTACATCCTAGTTCTTCATGCCAACCTCCTCTGGAAAGGTGCTTTTCTGCATACCATGTTCGAGTTTAGACTTAGTTAAATCCTACTTTTTGGCTCTGCTAGAGCCAAAAAACCTTATTTTCATCTGAAAGAGAATGGCTAAGATGCTTTCCTCTGTGAACTTTTAGACATACAGTCTGCATGTGAAGGAAGAGGAACCTCTGAGTTCCTTGATGGCATGACCCTTGCAATGTAACTGAACAGAGTCTGACATAGACAGACCTGGGTCTCCATCCAGCTCTGTCCTCTTGTTTTAAGTCCAACCCTATGTAAGGGATGCCCTACACTGAGCCTGCCCTGGAGACAAGAATACCCAAAGCAATTAACACAGAGGCACAGAGGAGGCGTTTATTAGGTGTTATGGGAAGGACATCTTTTCCTCTCTGCCTCACTCCCTATGAGAGTACAAATGATAAAACCTAAAAGATGGATGAAGGTGAGATTAGAGAAGACTCCTCATGACAAGGATTGGCCACTCTGGCCTTTTCAACTCTTAGGCTTCTTTTCCCAGGGGAGAATTCAGTAAGCTGATCTAAGTCAGATGTAAGGGGTTTTAGGATCTTTCTAGAAGGGTGTTTTTTTTTTTTTTTTTTTTTTTTTTTTTTTTTTTTTTTTTTTTTTTTTTTTTTTTTTTTTTTTTTTTTTTTTTTTTTTTTTTTTTTTTTTTTTTTTTTTTTTTTTTTTTTTTTTTTTTTTTTTTTTTTTTTTTTTTTTTTTTTTTTTTTTTTTTTTTTTTTTTTTTTTTTTTTTTTTTTTTTTTTTTTTTTTTTTTTTTTTTTTTTTTTTTTTTTTTTTTTTTTTTTTTTTTTTTTTTTTTTTTTTTTTTTTTTTTTTTTTTTTTTTTTTTTTTTTTTTTTTTTTTTTTTTTTTTTTNGTAGGCTAATTACTTTACAACATTGCAGTGGTTTTTGTCATACATTGAAATGAATTAGCCATGGATTGCTGTTGGAATTAAATGAGATGATATATGTAAAGGGTTTAGCCCTGTCTAAGTATGATACGTATGTAGTAAATCATCATCATTTCAAAGGACGTGCTTTTAATCTGAGATCCATGTTTTCTCCTATTAACAGTTGCACATTGATGGGAGTCTGAGTTATGGTTCTAAGTGCGAGCATTCATTCCTCTCTCTTTGCAGACATGACCTTAGCTTGCACTGTGAGTTGGTTTTATAGAAAGTGAGTGTGCGAGTGCTTATAAGGAGGAAGACAGAGGGACAGGGGATCAGGGCTGGTTCCAGAAGGAAGATGTGATGGGTGAAGTTCGTTCAGAGCCCCAGGAGTGGTTGGCTGGGGCCCCTGACATCTGTGTACTCTGGACTCACCCCTGCTAAGGCACGTGCGCATTTCCCAAGATCCCATCATGGAACAGCCAGGGGCAGGGCAAAAAGAACCATCTCCTAGGGCAGCCTTTGGTGCCCATTTTTGGTGGATGTAAAGAGCATCACAAGGAGCTGCTCACTCATTTTCTCTACAGCCCTGAGAGGACAGATGAAAACATTTGTTTTCAGAAGAGGAGGAGAAGGAAGATGGGCAGACATGGGAGGAGAGGGAGGGTGAGATTAAGATCTGACCCTGGAGTGAGTGTTTCTATCATTTTTGTGTTGCATTTTCTCCCTTTGATTCCTCCTTATTGCTGTTCAGTCTTTCTCTTCTGTCTCCTAAGGGGCCCTATTTTGCCTTCCAAGAAACACTAGATGCTCTAGAGTAGGCATCTTCAAACTTCTTTTGTAAAAGGCCAGGGAGTAAAGTATTTTATTCTTTGCAGGTCGTATGGTCTCTATTGCAGTCACTCAACTCTGCCATTGTAGCAAGAATGCAGCAGAGACAGGATGAAGAGGCATGGCTGGGTTCCAATAAAACCATTTCCCAAACAGGCACCCGGCCAGACCTGGCCTGCATACCACAGTGTGCTGACCCCTGCCCTGGACCGCTCCTGACCTGTTCTCCGTCAAAACGTAGATATCCTGTGCTCCAGGCTTTCAGACTCTGCGTCTGGAGCAAGAAGCACTGTTCCACACTGAGGAGTTAGTGATTGCCATAGTCTGATGTGTGCTTTGGCACCATCAGCAGTGCACAGACATGGAACAGGAAAGGCCTCCAACCAAACACTCACCACTGTGAAATTTCAGGTGTCTTGGCAGATGTGAGCAAGAGAGAGTCTGAAGACGGAGGAACGGAGCGCCTCTGGGCATCTCCCAAAATGCAGACAGATGTCGCGACCCAGCTGCCAAGGGGAGTGCCGACCATCGCTGGCTTCAGCCTGCCAGGTGGTGAACATGAGCACAACAGTGCCCTCTGACTCTTTCGGGGAATTTCCAGGCCACTCCTGGGATGTTAACACAGGCTCCTGCCTCCTCCCTCAGCAGCGGAGGGCTGCCTGACTCTGACGCCAACTTCTCCATGCAAGTACGCAGTGCCTAAAGTATATACTTAGTGATTTGTCCAAGAGAAAGGAAAGTTCTAAACGAGCCAGGAGATTTCTTACTGGGCCAGCAGGAGTACCATAGAGCAGAAGAGGAAGAGAAACCTTCTAACAGCAGAGACGTCGCGGGAGCAGAGGGAGGGCTGGCCCCTCTGCCTCGCCAGAGGCTCCCACACCCAGATGCAGGCCAGAGCGATCCCTCATAATTTAAGCTGACACCCCTCAGCGGAGATGAAAGGAACACCACTTGCTGTCTCCAACAACAAATGTCAGCATCCCTGGAGGCCATTTAGACACAAACGCAGCATAAATCTGACTCCTAGAGGGAAGGTCCAGAGATTAAGTCTCCATGCACAGCCTACCAGGCTGAAATGAATTTGCTTGGCACGAAGTTGGAGCATGTTTCTCAGGGCCTTTCTTCCCGCTTTCTTGTAAAAAAGAAAATCTGGAATGGCTCAGGGGCTATAGCTTCCCTTTGCCTGGTCCTCCCACTCATTCGTGACATAAGCAATGGCAGATGAAAGACCAGCCGTGGTTTATGGCTCCGAGACAAGCTGTTCTACCTGTGGGGCCTCCCAGATTCATTTCAGGTTGTTGGAAAAATCCCAACGGCCCATAAACTGGGCAAGAGATGTCAGAGCTTGGCCCAGGAGGCGAAGGTGAGGGAGGGGGACCAGAGACCCTCATGGGCGTCTCCCAAAATGCAGACAGATGTCGCGACCCAGCTGCCAAGGGGAGTGCCGACCATCGCTGGCTTCAGCCTGCCAGGTGGTGAACATGAGCACAACAGTGCCCTCTGACTCTTTCGGGGAATTTCCAGGCCACTCCTGGGATGTTAACACAGGCTCCTGCCTCCTCCCTCAGCAGCGGAGGGCTGCCTGACTCTGACGCCAACTTCTCCATGCAAGTACGCAGTGCCTAAAGTATATACTTAGTGATTTGTCCAAGAGAAAGGAAAGTTCTAAACGAGCCAGGAGATTTCTTACTGGGCCAGCAGGAGTACCATAGAGCAGAAGAGGAAGAGAAACCTTCTAACAGCAGAGACGTCGCGGGAGCAGAGGGAGGGCTGGCCCCTCTGCCTCGCCAGAGGCTCCCACACCCAGATGCAGGCCAGAGCGATCCCTCATAATTTAAGCTGACACCCCTCAGCGGAGATGAAAGGAACACCACTTGCTGTCTCCAACAACAAATGTCAGCATCCCTGGAGGCCATTTAGACACAAACGCAGCATAAATCTGACTCCTAGAGGGAAGGTCCAGAGATTAAGTCTCCATGCACAGCCTACCAGGCCGAAATGAATTTGCTTGGCACGAAGTTGGAGCATGTTTCTCAGGGCCTTTCTTCCCGCTTTCTTGTAAAAAAGAAAATCTGGAATGGCTCAGGGCCTGTAGCTTCCCTTTGCCTGGTCCTCCCACTCGTTCGTGACATAAGCAATGGCAGATGAAAGACCAGCCGTGGTTTATGGCTCCGAGACAAGCTGTTCTACCTGTGGGGCCTCCCAGA